ACAGTTAGAATACGCCCCATATACTTGCAATGTAGCAAATCGGAGCGGATCCGCTCCGAAATTATTTTGAAGAATACAAAAGGAGTTGCATTGGAAATAACTACCAAATTAATCATAACAAACCTTTTTGAAATTGTATATGCCTTTCAAATAAAAAATAATCCAAATAAATACGAAAATTCAACTCATTTTCTCAACGTTTTCCTCGATTCAAATTTACACGCCATGTTGACATTCGGAACTCATTGGATTATTCATAGAAAATGCATAGAGTTCGAGTTATTGCCCGTGTTTATTTTGCTACATTGCCAATACACGGAAGAAACTAGGTCCGTAGTACAATAACATTTTAATGATAGAATGTTCTATCTAGGTGGAAACAACAGAGCTGTTGTTATTATGGTTGATCAGGATGGGAATATGCATCATTAATAATCAAAATAGGTTCAAAAATATATGCTCTACGTATGTACAATTTCTTAAACGAGGTCAATTACTGACAAACAAGTTGATGAAACAAGAATATCAGCAGTCCCGTTTAAAGTCATCATTTCGTAAGTTCTGTGGTCGATAAAATGTCCTTGTCAGCAAATACAATTTATCATTGAGTCAAATGCTGACTGACGTTTTTCATACTTATTGTTAGGCCATTATTTACACACTGAATTGTCGACGGATTTTTCCGTTATTTCCCGTTCACGATAAAGAGCACACGGCGGGTGTGACCGGTCGGCAGGGGATGCTCACTCCTCCCTGACACCTGATCCCGCCTCTGATGTTTTGGAGGTCCGTGTTTGCTCTGTTCCTATTTTGTATTGTTAAAGGACTATTGGGCTTGAATACTGTTCGTTATCTCCATATATTTCATGCATTTCATACAAATGTAAATGTTTAATCTTGTATTGCATTTTATTTGCAAATGATAATAATAACACTTATATTTTTAAGACAAATAAAATTAAAATAAAAAATCAATGCTAAATTATACCAATTAATGCGGAACTGAATTGGGAAGTTTGAGGTGAAAAAATACTTTTTTTCAATAAAATGTTAATGCTAGGGGAAAGAAAAGATTACGGTTTAGTTGAAGTACAATTAAGATTACTTTTTTTTACTTATAAAAACTGAAAATCTAAAATTATCAACGAGATAATTTATGTATATACTGTATATATAATACAGATTTAATGGACCGTTCACGGTAGCTCAGTCGGTAGAGCGCTCGCTCCGTGATCGGGAGGTCGTGAGTTCGAATCTCGGCCGCGACAGACCTAAGTCGATAAAAAATAGGTAGCAACTGTTCCTTCGCCATGCGCTCGGCACTTTGGAGTGAAAGTTGCGGGTCTTTCGGATGAGACCTTAAAAACCGAGGCCCCGTGTCACGGCAGGCGTTGGCACGATAAAGATCCCTCACTGCTCAATGGCCCTGAGTGCCGAGTAAAGGTCAAAATTTGAAGCCCTTCACCGGTATATGGTGACGTCTCTATATGAGTGAAAAATTCTCGAATGGGACGTAAAACAATATACAATCAATCAATCAATCAGATTTAATGGCAAAGTCAGCTTAGGGGGGATCAATATTTTTTTAATTTCCTTGGCCTAGAAGAATTATACTTTTAAAAGAAAACAAGTCAATATTATAATGCATGATGTATTATTTTTAAGGGGTTTTTACTAAATCACACATCTCCTGTTTAAACTATTTAAGTTCTAACTGAAAACCTCTAAAAACCCAGTACATTATAAAACTATCGATTTCGTCATAAATGGTGGGTGTGACAATTTCAAAGTTTCTGATTGGCCTCTTGATCATTTAATTACATCTACACTTAGGAACAGTTGTACTTTTTGGATTCGATTTCTGAGGTTATACGATATATATATTTCTAATTTTTAGAAAATTGGGCTAAAAGGTAAAATACATTTTGAGCATTGAGAAATCAGTCTTACATAACTTCAATTCTTACTATGTATTTAAAGAATTCTGCGTACAAGGCAATTTGACAAAAATCAATATTTTATTTCTGTCCTGCGAAGAACAAAAAAGTTTCCTTCTTTATATAAATCTCCCCGTGTTTGCACAACAGAGTATTCAAAGGTAAGTAATTTAAATAGCTGCTAGCTTTATCGATTTCTCTTCACTGTCTATCTCAAGTAGAAGAATTACCAATGGCGGAGGCTCCTGATCCAAGCGGACAACATTTTGTTACTTGTCAGCGGTGTGAGGACAACGTACAGTTCTACTGCAGACCGTGCAAATTTAGACTTTGTGTAAAATGTGTGTCTCCTCATCTGGAAACAAATGCACCAGACCATAATATAGTATATTATCACAAACGATTTTGGGCGACAACAAGATTCCTTCACGATCCTTACATAGTGAAGACCATACCTTGCGGATGTATTGCGATGATCTACATAAGATATGCCAGAGATAGACAGATTTTCGTAATTTCCCATGGTTTGTCCGAAATGAAACTTGTTAATACAGACGGAACTTTAGTCAGAACTTTTTCTCTGGAAAGATTGAATATCAATTTAACTCCTTATAAAGACGGTGCGTTGTATACAGACAAAGACGGAATAAGAAAAATTAACAGTAAAGACGATATACTATTTATACCAATTAATGGGGAACTGAGAGGAATTAAATTTATTGAACCTAATCTCATATTTGTCTGCAACTCATCCAAGGTTGAAAAGTATACAATTGAAGGTAAAAGGATTTTGAAAATTAAATACAACGACAAAGGAGATCATATTTATAAAAATCCTACAAAAATTTAAATCAATGGAAATGGGGATATTTGTGTTGCTGAAGATGCCAGAAATGATGTCCCTAACCCTGCGGTTACAGTCGTCGATAATTGTGGAAAATATCGCTTCTCTTACGCTTTAGAGCCTATAAAGGATTACTCTTACCCAATGGATCTCTGCTGTGACTCATGTTTCCACATTATCATAGTTTGTGATACAATACATGTCATAGACAAAGATGGTAACTTTCTTAGATACCTGGTGTATGATGGGTTAAAAAATCCTTTGAGTGTGACCATTGATAATGATGATAATTTATATGTCTCTGAATTGTTTGACAAATACCTAAGAATGTTAAAATATCTGTACTAATCAGTTCTTGGAAGTACTCCAACATGATTCCATGTAATATTTGAACATTCTTGTTATTGCGCTCATTAAGTGTTTTATAAATTATATATATTTTTCTTAGATGTTTCAAATGCAAATTCATTCATTCCCGTCATATATTATGTACATGTTCAGTATTTGCAAGTTTTTTAAAAACTTTTTTCAAAAAAAAGACAAAAAGTCCTTTAGCAATTTTGACATTCACAGGGTTGATAAATTAATTTAAGTAAAGGAATCACTTCATTGGTATTCTGTAATAACAGTTGTGATAATCAGATGTGGATACTTAAAACTCCAGGGATTTTTTTAAACTTAAAAGCACAAAATTATACCAAAATCAATAGCATCAAAACCTACAACTTTTCAACATTTTATTTACATACCTTGTAATGATCGAGTCATCTGCAAACTTATCTTGTTAAGAATCATACTGATTCTACACACAGGTACTCAGAGATTGGTTTTTAAAAGGTGCTTGAGTTTATCAACTACTATTTAGTTTTCAGAGACCAGGCTCCAAGATCATAAACTGAGAATAGACATAATAAAACTTTTGAAATAATTTTGACTTTGAAACAATAATTTAACTTCAAGCATGGATTTAAATTTTATCCAAACCTGCAAATTTTTATGCACATGTGTTTTAAAAAACTCACAATATTCAAAATTAAAATTTTGACTTAAGTCTTTTCTCAGTTTATGGACTTCAGACCTGGTCTTCCAATAAACTGTTGGAATTCACATGGGTACTTGTGTACCCTGTTATTACACTGTATCAGACCTGTTTTTGTATTCATATGAAGAAGAATCTATTCAAAAAATTCTACTTGAAAAGAAGATGTATCTTGCTGTTGCCTTCAGTTCGACATTAATATATATAAAGGACGTTTTATTAATTAAGAACTTTTAGTTTCATTCCAACGTTGATTCTATAAATCTCTTTGAATACATATGTTCCGTACTTGGATGTTCACTTGAGAAAAACGTTGATGTTACCGACAATTAAACTTAATGATAAACGTACTGGCTTCATTTTTTTCTATCGTCAACTTGCCTTATTTATAATTAAGTAGCAATATACCATTATCATCTGCATATGGAGTTCATGTCTATGTAAGTCATATAACTAGTTTCACAAAAGGGAAAGAATCTTAACAAATCAATATGTCTTGGTCCAAGCCCGTGATCAGAACTAAAGCTGATAATTAAAAACAGAAGCATTTTTCAAAACAGTCTTTTATTTATCATAATCTCGTAAAAATAACACAAATTATTAAATTCAAAATTTTTCTTTTTCTTTCAAGACCGTATTGTCTTGGTTTTAAGAAAACTTCCTTTATCCTTCAAAATAGCCATCTTTTCACTGCAATTATGGAATTCCATATACGACAGCCAACTGCTTACGGCCGACTGGACCGTTCACTGTAGCTCAGTCGGTAGAGCGCTCGCTCTTTTTGGGAGATCGTGAGTTCGAATCTCGGTCGCGACTGACCTAAGTCGATAAAAAAATGGATAGCAACTGTTCCTTCGCCATGCGCTCGACACTTTTAAGTGAAAGTTGCAGGTCCTTCGGATAAGACCTTAAAAAACCGAGGCCCTGTGTCACGGCATGTGTTGGCCGCAGGGCACGAGGTCACGACCCCGTTTCATTTCCAGATACAGCAATTATTGTATGACTATTGGTCCAGCAAATGTTTTGTGGCACGCCTACTTTCACGAGCTGCAGTGGCATTTTTCGCGCTTCAATTTAGTTGGGATTGTTTTAAGCTAAAAGATGGACGTAGATTTTTTTGGATAATGACTTCAAAGTTGAAGAAATAGACGACCTGACATTGTCTCAAGTGTGCGACGAAATGGAAGCTTTCGACGAATTACTGAACATGAGCCTTACACAGCCGCTAGCAGAGTACGACACAGGATCGGAGCATGGTGAATTTAAGCTTGAATGGGACTTTTTGAGTGAAAATGAAAACAGTTCGAATTTGCCGACCACATCGGGTGATCGTTTTGCGCCCCTAGTGACCGAGAGTGAACTGAAATCTGTAATTGAAAGCCAGGAAAACATAAACACTAAACAAAACACTAGATGGGCGGTCAACGTGTTTGAGAAATGGAGAACCGGCAGTTCCGAAACTATTCCAGAACTTCAATTCCAGGGCAGCGAGGAAATGAATTACTGGTTACAACGCTTTATAGTGGAAGCTAGAGGGCAGGATGGTAAGGATTACCCCCCTAAGAGCCTGTACTTGATTTCGTGTGGACTACTTCGTTTTTTGCGAGACAAAGGTGTGTACAATAAAAACTTTTTAGACGAAAAAAACACAACTTTTATTTCGGAAAGTTCTAGATGCAAAAATGAAGTCGCTGATTGAAAAAGGCATAGGGTGTATTACGAAGAAGGCTGATCCTATTTTACCAGAAGATGAGGCCAAGTTGTGGGATGTTGGAGTGTTTGGAAAGAAAAATGCAGAACAACTTCAGAAAACGATTTTCTTTTACGCATGTAAAATCTTTGGTTTGCGTGGGTGCGACGAACATCATAACCTGGAATGTGAACAGTTTACTATTGGATCAGATCAGCTGGAAAAATTTATTGAGTTTACGGGTCGAGAAACCAAAACGTACAAAGGAGGGCTCGGACAGCTAAATGTGTGCAACAAGACTATTAAACATCACTGCCAGTCCGGTAAGAGAATCTCTCTCTTTTTTTCTCTCTCTCTCTCTGTGAGGATGTACGCTTACTCGCTCGCTCAGCTTACAAATTCAAAATTTTCTTGTAGGTGAGAGATGCATTGCTGACTATTTTGATCCATATCTGGATTCTCTTGGACGCCAAGGAACATTCTATCGAAGACCTCTGCCCGCAACATCTGAGGTGCTAATCCGATACGGAAATCAAGTTGTGGGAATTAACAAGCTGAAAAACTTAATGCGAATCATCTGCACGGAAGGTGGTTTACAGGGTAATTATTCGAATCATAGCGGCAAACGCACTTGTGCGACCCAGCTATATATGTCTGGTGTTGAAGAGCAGCAGATAATGGATCGGACTGGTCATCGTTCTCAAGCAGGTGTCCGTAAATACAAAAGATCCAGTGCACAAATGGAAGCTAATGTGTCAAAGATCTTGGATCCGCCCAAAGAGTGTACCGAGAATTCTACTCCGTTGAATACTCTAGATGAATGCACTCCAGATATTTCAGATGAGTGTCCCGTTATTCCACAGACTGCAGCAAATGTCCAGGGTGAGGAGGAACCTCAGAGCAAGAGATTCAAACCGAACAGATTCCCGTTTGGAGAATTTAAAAATTGTAACATTACATTTCAGTTTTAAAGTGAAAATTTCACAAAAATCAATGATTAGCAAGATAGCTTGTTAAACTACTTAAACCTGATATTTTTGAATTGAGTCTTTTTTTTTTTTTTTTTTTTTTTTTTTTTTTTTTTTTTGTCTTGTAAAAATTGTACAAGGACATTAAATTTAATTTAAAGGTTTTGTTGAAAAATTTAACTTTTCAATGGTTGACTAAATGATAAATTTTGTGAGGATTTGATTTTCTTACCTTACAATAATTCTAAATTATTGTACGGTATAATTACCACGCCTCCTTTGATACAGTGCAATAACTTGCAGTTTCTAAAGTTACTGTACGATGCTAGGCCACGCCTACCTGGGTATAGAACGAGTATTGGAAATTACAGTACACTAGTCATCAAAGAAAATACGCCGCATAAGTCCCACAACTATAGAAACGCGGGGTTATTCAAGTTCAAAATCGGTGAAAATTTTAATTTGAACGTAGTGTAAATAACAAATTTAATGTTCATCTATAGATGAACACTCAATCTCGTATCTTTATTATTTAAGCTCAGATACGGCTTTTGTAGCTGAAAAGATTTTTTTTTTTTTTTTTTTTTTTTAAAAATCACACTGACGTGTTTCGTATGCTAATTCATGCAACGCGAAATCTTGTGACAGCGCATATTGTCGTCCTGTTCATATTGTCGCCGGCGATAATGTGTACCTTCCCTCATTGCACATATTGTCGTCCATCCGCACATGCATGTCACAAGACAATACATGACAATGCTTCAATATAAATATCATACAATTATGGACTCTTTCGGTGGTGAATCATTAGTTTGCTGTTCTTGAAAAGGAAATATTTTAAAGAATTTTTCTATACATTCTTATGAACAACTTTGCTCGCCCATTGTGTCCCCAGCCTAGCCCCGGAAAACATGCATGATTTGAAGAAACTTGAATCTGCACTACTCTAGGATGCTTCCATATAGTCATCACTAATCATTGGCTTCTTGTTCTTAAAAGATTTTGAAATACTTTCTGTATACATTCCTGTGTAAAACTCTGATCGACCACTGTGGCCCCACCCTACCTCTGCAGGGACTAATGATTTAAACAATCTTGAATTTACACTATGTAATGAAACTTTCACATAAATATCAATTCTTCTGGTCCAGTATAGTTCTTGAAAAGAAGATTTTGAAATATTTTTTCCTATACATTTCTATGTAAAACTTCGATCATCTATTGTAGCCCCATCCTTCCCCCGGGGGCCATGGTCTGAATAAAATTCAATCTACACTTTATAATTAAGCTTTCACGTCACATTTAACTTTTCTGGCACAGTGGTTCTCAAAAAGATTTATAAAAATGCCACTAAATTTTCATTAAGTCTTAATTACCGTATCGTATCTTCCCTTGAAGTAGGTACATCATTTGAACAAAATTGAATCCTCTTTATCCAAGGATGCTTTATGGCAAGTTTGGTTGAAATTGGCCAGTAGCTTATGAGAAGAAGCTGAAAATGTGAAAAGTTTACAGAGGGTTGTCGGATGTTCGACAGACAAAATGTGATCAGAAAAGCTCATTAGAACTTTTAGCTCAGGTGAGCTAAAATGTTGACCACAACCCGAATTATATCGGCATATTTGTAAGAATAACGCAAAATATTTTCTAGATAATTTATTAATACTGCACAAAAAATTAACATTCGATCTCCTAGTATATATAACGATAATAAAAGAAAAGTAGATTTATCAGATATATCAAGAATTATGGTACCTTGGCATATAATAGTGGTGTACATTAATCCTGGACACAATTTCCTGACCAAAACTTTTTCTTCCTACAGTATTGCGGGTAATGCTAAATAAATTCAACTTGTTTCCTCAGACATGTATATCTGAATGTCTATAAATCCTTTTGTCTGTCTGTCTGTCTGTCTGTCTCTGTATTTCTCTCTCTCTCTCTCTCTCTCTCTCTCTCTCTCTCTCTCTCTCTCTCTCTCTCTCTCTTGCTGACTTCGACCTTAGTAATTAATTTTTAACACAATATACCGTCGACAATATGTGCAAATGTTCACAGTACATATTGTCGCCGACGACAAAATGTGCCGATGCGTGACTGTACATTTTGTCGTCCATTATGCCAGTGTTATGCAGGAGGAAAAAAAGGCTCGTCTCGGTACATTTTGTCGCCGGCGACAATTGCAATATGTACCGATGGACGACAATATGTGCAGTGAGGGTAGGTACATATTGTATTGACAATATGTACAAAACGACAATATGTACCGTCACAGGGGGTGTTACGATTAATCTACATTATAGGGTCCTGGCTAACATTTATACACAACTATTTTTTTCATAAAGTAAAACAAAACCTTGTCATATATGACAAATGTTACTAGTAAAAGTTTATAGAATGTGACAATCTCTCTTCCTTAATTACGTCTAGAGCTACAGATGTTGAAAAATTATATATTATTTATTTTCTTTTTTAACTCCATTTCTTCTCAATATATTAGATGGAAATACTTATTCCCATTTCAATCGGGATCGACGTTCAATTTCTCATTAATTCTACATCCGGAGTGAAAGGCAGGAGGATAAAACGTACGCTCAACTAGGACCTCGGGTCACCCGCAAATAGTTCGTCATTTTGCGTAGTAATAAAACATTATATGAACTCTTCAGGCATTAAAGGCACAAAAGTAAATTCATCTGTATCAATATGGTGACCTCAGGTCACCCTATATTTTGATTGAATTTTTATTAAAAAACAGTTTTCTCTGTCTTACTCCAATACAATTATATTAATAACTTTATATAGATCTTTCTAATAGATTAACAGAGACGTGAAGGTATGGTTTTAAACATTAAAACATGACAACAAGTTGATGTCATAATTAAGGTTCGGTGTCGGACGTCCCCCCCCCCCTTCCACAAATGTTTCACTGGTTAACTTTATCAAACAATACATGTATTATTATCAGCAGTTTGAGAACCAATGTCTTTGTTACTGTGTTAAAAATTACACACAGGGAAATTGAGACTTTTTCTTCATTCTTCAGTCATAGACCTAAAGTGTTCAATTTAGGACAATGGTTCAGTATTATCATTAGTCATCTACGATACTTAACTTTGCTTAACTAAAAGACAACGGAAAAAAATAAAGGCAAAAAGAATGAAAATATTTCTTTCACTCTATAATTTATCCTATCTTACATCTGTTCCTATAGAAAAAGGAAAATCCACAGGCTTTAAGAACTTTAAATGAGAATAAAATTAAGTCCAAATTTAGTTTTAATATCCTGAATTTGTTTTCAAATTAACTGATTTTCAACTACAAATTCAAATAAAAAGGTTGAGATACCAAACAGAGATTGATCTCAAAAATCCTATTAACAAAGGAATTTGAAAACAGAATATAAAACACAGATTCCTAAATTCCTGAGATAGGATCAGATGCATGGGAGGGATCATCCCTGGTCACATCAAATTTATTGTCACAAGCCTGCTTTGAGCAATATCTTGCATATGGAATGATAAAATAATGTGTCATATCAATGCAGAGACCGGAGGTCATCAGGTATTGTATATCAGTAAGGAGACAAGAGTGTGCAAAACAGTCACCAGATACCACCAATGTGGAGACTAGTGGTAAACTAATGTTTCATATCAAAACGGGGACTAGAGGTCACCTTATGTTGTACATCAATAAGGAGACCAGAGGTCACCTTCTATTGCACATCAAAACGGAGACCAGAGGCCACCTTATATTGTACATCAATAGAGAGACCAGAGGTAACCTTTTATAGTACATCAATAGGGAGACCAGTGGTAACCTTATATTATACATAATTAGGGAGACCAGAGGTCACCTTCTATTGCACATCAAAACGGAGACCAGAGGCCATCTTATATTGTACATCAATACGGAAACAATAAGACACCTTATATTGTACATAATTAGGGAGACCAGAGGTTACCTTATAATGTACATCAATACGGAGATCAAAGGACTCCTTATATTGTACATCAATAGGGAGACCAGTATTCAACTTATAGTTTACATTATTAGGAAGACCAGAGATCACCATTTATTGTATATCAATAGGGAGACCAGGGGTCACCTTATATTGTACATATTTAGGGAGACCAGAGGTCACCTTATATTGTATATCAATAGGGTGACCAGAGGTCACTTATTTTGTACATCAATATAGAGACCATAGGACACCTTATATTGTACAGAATCAGGGAGACCAGAGGTCACTTATTTTATACATCAATAGGGAAACCAGAGGTAATTCATTTTGAACAACAATAGGGAGACCAGTGGTCACCTTATATTGTACATCAATAGGGAGACTAGAGGTCACCTTATATTGTATATCAATAGGGTGACCAGAGGTCACTTATTTTGTACATCAATATAGAGACCATAGGACACCTTATATTGTAATTAATATGGAGACCTCTATATTCTTAATCAATTGGAAGACCAGAGGTCACCGTATATTGCACATAATAAGGGAGACCAGAGGACACCCTATATTGTACATAATAAGAGAGACCAGAGGTCACCTTATATTGTACATCAATAGGGAGACAAGAGGTCACCTTATATTGTATATTGTACATCAAGAGGGAGACAAGAGGTCACCTTATTATATACATCAATAGGGAGACTAGAGTTCACCTTATATTGTACATAAATACGGAGACCAGAGGACACCTTATATTGTAAAGAATTAGGGAGACCACAGGTAACTTATTTTGTACATCGATAGGGAGACCAGAGGTCACCTTATATTGTACATAATTAAGGGGGACCAGAGGTCACCTTATATTGTACATTAATAGGGAGACCGGAGGACACTGTATATTGTACATAATTAGGGAGACCAGAGGTCAACTTATATTGTACATCAATAGGGAGACCAGTGGACACCTTATTTTGTACATAATTAGAGAGACCAGAGATCACCTAATATTTTATATTGTACATGAATAGGGAGACCAGAGATTACTTTATATTGAACA